AAAGGAAAACTTGAAATCGCATCATATGACCCCTTTAATTCATGTTCCTGGACTTATTCGTGTTCCTGGAGTTATTTTAGAATATTCCAGTTTTTATTAGTATTTGGAATTATTCTTTTTTTATATTATCATTTGTTAAAGTTTTAGTAATTTTGTTGTTTTTTTTTGTCATTTTTTTATTTTATTTTATATTTTATTTATTAACTGATATAAAATAAGTAATTTTTTAATATTTTATATTATTTCAGTTAACATTTATTTTATTTCAATTAACAAAAATTTTCTATTTATAGTTTTAATTTTAATTCTAGTTAACAATAACAGCACTAATATTCCATACATGTTATTATAAAGAAATAATGTTTATTTTGGCCTAATCTTTCATCAGAATGAATTTTTTTTTCTAATGTTTTTTTTCTAACAAATTTTTAGGAGACCAGGTTGCTTCCATTAAGTCGAAGCTTTAAAAGTGACATTTCTGAGCAATAAAATGTTGCCTCAGAATATAGGATGCATATAAATGAAAGATAAAGGACAAAAAAAGAAATGGTGATTATAAGTAAATATGAAATAATTCAAATTAATAATGAAATGATTAAATAACGCTGTATTAAATAAGTAAATTAAATAAGAATTCATTTAATAAAATTTTTTTGCTACATGTAAAGTTGTTTTAACCTTATAAACTCAATAATGAAAAGATTTGTTATTATAAATATTGTTTTTCTGTGATACAGTAAGCCAGAGTCCATTCAATAAAATAAAACCCCTATTACATCCATGTGCTTGTTTGTATTCATCAGTTTGTGTCTGATGTATGTGTTTCTTCCGTAGAGTTTGATCCTCCAGCAAACCACAGTGTGTGTGTGATGCAGATGCAAACGCTGACCGCGGCCTTTCTCTTCTCGCTGGAGACTCAGACCACCATCGGATACGGATACCGCTGCATCACGGAGGAATGTCCATCTGCCATCGTCCTGCTCATCATCCAGCTCCTCATCACCACCGCCATGGAGATCTTCATCACTGGAACCTTCCTTGCCAAGGTGCGCATTCATTTACTCACCTGAACACAGAAAACATGCAGGTCACATTATGCTTCAAAGTAAAGTAAAGCAAAGCAAAATAAAATAAAATAAAATAAAATAAAATAAAATAAAATAAAATAAAATAAAATAAAATAAAATAAAATAAAATAAAATAAAATAAAATAAAATAAAATAAAATAAAATAATAAGTTGTATGTTAAAGTAACAAATACATATTATTGTTTAAACAGTTAATTCAAGTCACGTTGATTTATACAGCATTTTATACAAAGCAGCTTCACTGACATGAACAGGAAAATAACAGTGTTAATGTTGCTAAATGTATCAATTATGACACAAATTAAATTATGAAATTCAATTATGATATATGTTAGTCAAGTCAAGTCAAGTCTGCTTTATTGTCAATTCTTCCACATGTACAGCACATACAAGAGGGGAGGGGGGGCAAGGTCGGGAGGGAGTTCAGCTTCCTGACAGCCTGATGGATGAAGCTGTCCTTCAGTCTGCTGGTCCTGGCCTGGAGACTCCGCAGTCTCCTCCCTGATGGCAGCAGACTGAAGAAGCTGTGTGTCGGGTGGGTGGGATCACCTGCAATGCAGAGGGCTTTGCGGGTGAGACGGGTGTTGTAAATGTCCTGGAGGGAGGGGAGAGAGGCACCAACGATCTTCTCAGCTGCTCTCACTATGCGCTGAAGTGTCTTGCGGCAGGATGCGTTGCAGGCACCATACCACACAGTGATGCAGCTCGTCAGAATTAATCCCAAATTCTCATTATTTTCATGCATCCAAATGTTTTACTCCAGAGATTTTTGTAATTCCTTTTCTCAATACTGATTCTCATCAGTGTTTTATTACTGCAATACATTTTTAAATGTTTTTATGATTTAAGTATCTATATTTCGGGGTGAAATATGACCCAGACACGTTTGTTCTTCTCTCTGTCTCAGGTGGCTCGGCCGAAGAAGCGTGGCGGGACGATTCGGTTCAGTCAGCATGCTGTGATAGCTAATCACGACGGTCGACCGAGTCTCATGATACGAGTCGCCAACATGCGCAAGAGTCTGCTGCTGGGCTGCCAGGTAACCGGAGGAGAGAATTATCACTTTAACAAGGACGCCAGTTAATGATTTATTTATTTATCTATCGATTTGTCACACAGAAGAAAATGACACTTTTTGAATTTGAAGATCAGGGTAAATTTAACTTATTTTGCCTTCTGGGAAACATGTAACTATCCACTGTAGCCTCTGAAGGGCAGTACTAAATGAAAAAAATATGATATTTAGGCAAAATAAGAAAAGTGTACACATCTCCATTCTGTTCAAAAGTGAGTCCCTCAGTTGTCCTCAGTGTGAAAAGATGCATCTCAAAATCATAAAGTCATTAATACACAAAAAATGCTGGAAAACCAAAGAATGTATGGGACCTGAAGGATTTTTCTGAAGAACAGCAGAACATTTAACTGTTCAGGACAAACAAGGGACTCATGAACAACTATCACTAAACATTGTACATGGAAATGTGCTCATGTAGACACTATGTTTTGGCAGTGAAATATTGCGAGTTCTTTGAGGACAAATGCAATTAATGTGATTTTTTCAGGTGACTGGGAAGCTTTTACAGCCGTGCGTCCCGAAGGAGGGCGAGACGGTGCGTTTGGACCAGAAGAACGTGACCTTCAGCGTGGACACGGCCAGCGAGAGCCCCTTCCTCATCCTCCCGCTCACCTTCTACCACTTCATCGACGAGCAGAGCCCGCTGCGCAGATGGGCCGACAAGGGTCCGAGCCTGCCACAATCCTCAGTTTACAGCAAAGTTTACCCACCAATAAAGTTTTCATTAACTCAAAAACTGACGTGCATGAGTTCAGACCAGTCAGGTCTACCA